GCCAAACTTGATCAAATTCATTTCCAATATTGTTAACCAACTTTTGTTTTGTAAAAAAATAGTAAAAAGGAAATTGTTTAAATATAACCTGAGGCGGTTGTTGAATCGGGATAGCTCCACCGTGAACGGTAACGTGATTCGTCGGTCGTAAGTAAAACTTGTCTTCGCCATAAGCACCCTTATGCTCCATCGAGTGTAAATTAGTTACGTATGCTACAAAATATAACTTTTTTAATAAAATATAATTTTTTAGTAAATAAAATTTTTAAAAATTTTATTCATTTTTTATTCAATTTATTTCTGAATCACAATATGCAATTATTATCGTTTAACTATCACATTTCTTTCTTGTCTAAAAAACTAACTGAGTGTATTCTTTTTATTTGTAGTGGAATTTTTTCGATTTTTTCTTTCCTTCTCCTTATTGCTTTCATGAATTTATTAATTTAGTTCAGAATAAATATAATATTGAACTACTGTTGAGTGATAAGATAAACTATATTACCAGTTTGATGTGTGGCTAATGGTGCTCTACCGCTCGAAAGATAAATTGGTTTAGCTGATTCCGAGGGTTCTCGAGATGGCTGTGACGCTGGTGCGGAATAACTGTAAACACTTTGGCCTGTGGGTGTCGAGTAAAAGTTCGATGCAGAATACTGATTATTCTCTGTCGAATGAGAAGAAAAATAATTAAGATGGATGAATGAATAATCTGGAAAACACTTATATTTTGTAGAAGAAAGCAGAGATGAAAAAGTTCACTCACTGTTCCAAAGAACTGCTCGAGCATCACCGGATCTTCTGGCAGCTTCCTCAGCTTCTACATAAGCACAAATACAAAGCACCAATGTTCAATGCCATCTTCACGACTTAAACACAGAATTTTCAATAAAAAATTATAGTGTTATCACTTAAAGATTTATGTGTATTTAAACTTATTTTTTTCTAAAATTTTGGTGATTATTGTCAACGAATGTAAATGAATACAAATATGTGATGTTTCTTATAAAATATACATAATTTTATATCACTTACTAGGAGGAGGTGGATTATAACTTGGGATAGACGGTGGCGGTTTGTAGCCATATGCGCTGTGATAGGATGCAGCCGGCGGCGGCGATGGAGTATGAGTCCTTTTTATAGTTCCCTGAAGACAAAAAATATTGAAATGCAAAATTTATTCTAAAGAAAATATATATTTTTAAGAGTAAATTTTTAGCATATAGTAAGATGCCACAAAAATCGAGATTAAACTTATACAATACAATGTGTTAATGAGATTGAGAAACTGTTCACATAAACATATGTTTAAAAATTTAGTTTCGACTTTTATGGACTGCTAGTTTATAGTATGCATAATATGAATGATAGATTTTCAATATTTGCAGTAAATGATGGAAGCCAAATATCAATGAGAAAGTTTCACTTACACTTTGTAATAGATGAGTTGGAGTACTAACAGCAACCTTATAGAGAGGACTGTTGCTACGTGGCAATGGCAAAAACAGTTGTGGATGTACTACTCTTGGACCTGTTGCAGGATATCCTCCTACTGTTGTCGAAACTTCTGAACAAACACTGAAAAAAATAAGATAACTTCATCTTACAAGTATATTCATTTATATATTAATCATTAATTTTTTATTAATTAAAGTAATTCCTGAATGTCTCTTCAAACATTGTAATTGCAAACCTAGTTTCTTTTATAAGTTGTCGTCTTCTGTCATCTTCGTTCAAAACCTTCTTCAATTGTAGGAACAACTGATGCTTTTCTGCTTTCAACTGTGACAGTTCATTGTCCAAGTTTGAGATTTGTTCTCGTGTTTCACCTAATGTCATCACATCTTGCTTTTGTTGGCGCTCTCTTTCCTTGCGTAAACGTTCTTCCTCAGCATCAGCTTCTTGTTCTGAAATACAATGAATAATTTTTACAAATTTTGTTTATTAGAAGGAATTCCATTTAGTTAAAAAGATTACTTTGAATCAAAGTAAAATTTATAGATACATTCATCTGGTGTACGATATTTCACTTTTAACAGGCCTTAATATTAAGCACCTTGTTTCTTTCGTTGTCGCTCTCTCAAAATATGAGTTTTTAGGGCCTGCCACATTTGCTCATTGCGTTGCGGTGGTCCGACTAGTATCGCTGGCATTTTTTTAATATTACCTGATAAACCAAATAAGTCTTCTCCGATGCTATGTATTTATTACCAACAATCAATTCCTTTGTATTCGCATGAGCAGCTAAGATAACTTCGAAAGTTTATCCTTTCGTCTAGGTCTGACACAAATCTTTCAGTTTTCTTCTAGATTATTGGCTTTCACCTCCGAAAATAATAAGAGATCGATACGGTCAAAAATCTTTATGGATCTTACAAGCCTTTGAAGGAATAACCACCGACGAGATATTATTAAAGATCGTCATCCTTGCGGGAATTCGCGTCCTTGTGAATATTAAAGTGATTAAAAGTTAAAAATTGATAATATTGTACTAATTTTATGATTTATTAGTTTAGTAGACGTAATTATGCATTTATAATTCAATAATACATGATTTTTTTTTTAAATTGTGATTTCAGTATTATCATCAAAGTTTGATTACCAACAGAGATGATAATCGCAGAGAAAAAAATTGTAATTTTCTGCAATGTATAAAATATTATAGCTTTACAAGTATGCATATTTATTTATGAAACATTTATGTAATAAAAAATCATAAATTTAATAATGTATGAGCCAAATATTTATGTTAACAATAAATTTGTATCAATTATCGATAATGTCAGCGTTCTTCAATTACTGGGTCCGCCCTTTTTATACTGTTGAAAATTTGTCCAGGGTTGACAGTCTTCAATAGTATCTCGTCGATGATGTACGTACATGCATGATACGCACTCACACTAAAGTCGCTAGATCTATAAAGTACTCGCATCCATTTTCACGCGAAACGCGGCCATTTCGAATTTGTGCATTTGTATTACGTGCTTTATTTGGGAAAATGAAGCCATCAAATATATAAATCAATGTTTTTTAATTGTAATTAGTTTATTTATGAATAAAAGAATATGTACGAATGCTCAATTTATGTGTTCTTTAGTTTAATATGGATTTATTTGTCATAGAAGTTGTGCATAAAAGTGCGAAGGATACGAATAAATACAGTTCAGAACTGTTCAGAAATACGAAAATACACATCACTCGTGTACTATGTATACATCTATGTACACATCAATCGTGTACTATCAGTATCGTGTACTATCAAGTACACATTAATGTGCACTTCGTCATTTTTACGCGACATTTCTGAAATCAATACGGTTTATAATCTAGTGACTTTAACTCACATTATGGCCGATATTACATGTGTCGTACTATATGGTTTTTCAAGCCTGTGATTGGCTATAGGACAGAGAGATTTTCGGATTTCTCTGTCTTACAGCCTTGAAAAGCTTTGCGTATAACTTATGAAATTCGTACGGCTGCGTTCAGCGGACTCAACAGTTGAATGAGCGTTCGCTGTTATAGGTGTATTCTTTTAGATCATCCAATCAGCATTTTAGATCTGGAAGAATATAATAACGTTTATTCAACAGCTTCAACTGTTGAGTCTATTGAATACAGCCTTATCTTGTTGATACAGGGTTGCGCGTATTAAAATTCAACTCTATCAACTCGAGTATTATTTTATCCTTGTTGATTACCGAATGTTGAATAAAGATAACAGATACTCGGAGTTGACAGAGTGAAGTTTTGGAACGCATCCAATGTCCTGGGCAAATTGCGGGAAAGTATTTGGTCTGTTTGTATTCTAGAAATTAATGAAAGGTTATGTGAAAACGTATGTTTTGGATAAAATTGTAATTGGCTAATACATTTAAGAAATCAATTTACAAACATGGAGACGTCATGGATAAATACTACTAGTGCGTTGCAAGATTTCGCAAATGTTCTGATTTGCGGGAAATGGTATAATTATACTATTTGAAATTTTATTATAGTTTATGATATCAAGTTCCAACATATATTCTTTATATATATATATATATATATGTACACACACACACACACACACGCGCGCGCGCGCGCGCACGCACAATTGTATTTACTATTTTATACATACTTTATATAACATGATCACTTTTTTTTATACAGTGGATCAAAACCAGTTTCTCCTGTAAGACTCATAAATTGTGGGCATTTCTTTTGTCATAATTGTATCAAATCTGCAACGAAATGTATTAGATGTGATATACCAGTGCAACCAAATGAAATAAAATCTGATCATTTAGTATCCAGTCTTATACAAAATTGCGATGTTATTGCAGAAATTATTCATAAAAGGTTAGAGGTTTGTTAAATAAACTATGTAAATAAACTATGTAAATAACAATGTAAAAATAAATTATTTTAGAGATATATGGAACATTACTACTGATGCATCTAATATATCAAAGGATAATACAATATCTGCAATACTTCCTACACCAAAGAAACAGGGTCATATATCTATGAGAAATATAAATAAACGAAATCCCAAAGGAGAAACACCGTTACATACAGCATGCTTGCAGGTATAGATATGAAATACTAATATTGTCTTTACTACTTTGCTTTGTTTAAAAATATAATTTATAATACCTTAATTATTACATCTCAAGTACTATATAATAGGATTATTAAAAAACATCTTTTAAACATATTTAAAATGTTTTAAATATATTTCAAATATATTTCTTTTAATACTTGGTTTAATCAATGTACTATTCTGTTTTTTGCTCTTTGTCTCGTATTTTTTTTCCTTTTTTTTATGACAGTCTTATCGATAATACTGTTTTTTTCACAAGTTTCTTGTCTCTTTCGAAATTTGATTTTTATCTCAGGTAACAATAAATGAAAAAACTGAATAAGAAGCAAAAAGGCAAAAAATAAAAAGTGAGTAAGAAGCAAGCCAAAGAGCATATTATAGATTAGGCTTTAAAATATATTCAAAACATTAAAAATACATTTAAAAAAACACGTTATGTTTTTTTAACATTTTCTTTTATCAACCCTGCTATGTACATTAAAAGATAATTTTAATTTCTCTAAGAAAACTTCAAGAGATGATTATTTTACAGAACAATGCTGAACGAGTTAAATATCTCTTGTTGCTTGGTGCAAATCCTAATACAAAAGATAATGCTGGTTGGACACCATTGGTAAAAAAGAAATCGATATATTTTTTTGCAAACTTGTCAAATTTGGATTATATATATTATTCTACATAATATTTCAGCAAGAAATGGTCAATTTTGGATATACTGAAATATGTAAGTTGCTACTGAATTGTGAAGCTTTGCCCGATATATTAGGTTTTAAGAATCGAAGTCCACTACACGAAGCTGCTAAGTATAACAAAATTGAAGAAGCTAAGCTGTTGTTGCATTATAATGCAGACAGAAATCAATGTGATCAATATGGCAAAAAACCTATGTATGTACATGTTTTATTGTAAAGCATACTTACTAAAGATAATTTTATTACATAATTTTTTAATGTGATCATGCAGAGACTACTGTAAATCAGAAAAGATGCGACAACTTCTGATGGATTTACCTAGAACTCCGTCAAAAAAGATATCAGATCTTAATCAAACTTTAGATAAATCTATTCTTCGTATAGGATGCGACAAATTTGTGATTCTTGCGTCAAATTTAAAATTTGTAAATCAGAAATTGCTCCGTCTCGTGGCCATAAAACATAAATTCAAAATTTTGTCAACATATAGGTACTTATTCATTCTTTTTATATATTATTTTATTATATTGTTTTTTTTTTTACAGTAAAATGCAAACGAGTGTAATATAATCAACTTATTTCAGACCATCTGTTACACATGTCATAGTAGAGGCAAATGAGAAAAATATTACAACATTGACACTTGACGTCTTATTCTCAATTGTTTGTGGAAGTTGGCTTCTCAGTAGCGAGTGTAAGATAAAATTATGCTTATAATGAATTTTATGCTGTGAATTGTTTGCTTAAATATATCACAATAACAATTATATTTATGTAAAATTGTTATCTAAATAAAAATTTAAACGATACAAAATTAATATTTAGAAAGAATTAACATTTAAAGGGATTCAACTGGCAGAAGATATGGATGAAATAGCTAATATGGATCTCGAATTGTTTGAAATTAATGGCGCGCCCACTCCTGGTATTCCAAGGAAAGCGAGACTGAACAATGAATATCAAAATCCACGTCTTTTCAATAACTGTTTCTTTTATTTTGCTTTGCAAGCAAATACAACTTATCATATTGCTAACATAAAATTTACTAAGGATAATCTAATAAGACTTGTAAAGGAAGGAGAAGGAACAGTACTTACTAGACAACCAGATCCAGAAGATCTAAAAGATATATCACGAGTGATACCTTTCCATACCGCGAATGATTCATCTCATCCTTTACACAAATGTACACATTATATTATATATGTACCAGGTAGAAAGACAGGTGAACCGCTTATTAAATATAATATGCCACATATCAAAAGTCTACCGTTAATATGGCTTATTGAATGCATCGAAAAATTTACTCTTGTCGATCCAGCTCACCTGGGATTGTGCTAAATGATCTTATACAAAGATTAATCCAAAAGTAAGTTTCCCTACTTTAATAATAGAAAAATAAATTTTAAAAGTCTTAAAAAATATTTTACATTTTGTTTACTTTTTCAAAAAAATGACATTTTTTCTATTGTATCACGCATTTATTGTATCATATAGAATTTGTTTGGTTTTTAATAAATTTATATATTATATATTATGCGTTATTATTGCAAACATTCACATGATATAATATAATATATAGGGACTGTATAGATCATGATGGAAGAATTAATTCATAATTAATTTAATCAACAGGATTCCTTACAGCAAAATTTCTGGCTACCTTCGTTATTCCTATTTATTTTTTTATTTAGATAATAAAAGTAATTCTATTTATAGTGCGTCTGCATTTATTGCTTCTCCGTTGTGCATGCGCGGAATGTTTGTTATGTCGCATGTTAAGGCGCATGACAGCTGGAGCATTTCAATGAGGTTACAATAATCGATGTAAACAATTTTAAACAATGAAGACCGAAATGTACAATGAAATAATGATGACAATTCGTAATTTTCGAGGCCTGTCGAGAGATTGTGCCAAAGTGTTAAAGGAGAAATTTAATAAGTAAGAATTCTTCTTTTTATTAAGATATTAATTTTGAAGGTTAAGTAAATTAGTAAAATTAAATAATTTGCTTAAATAATTTGATTAAATAATATTCTTTAGAAACTCTTTAAAAACGTGCCAATCTAATATAATTATGTATTCTCCTTATTTTTAATCGATTTGGAATTATTTAAAAATTATTTTATTTATGAGATTTTTTATTCTTACATAGCATCCATCCAAACACGCTGTACAGCATCTTATCGTTAGAAATACAACAGAAAATGAAAAACAATCATGTCAGACTGTTTGGAAACAATAAAAATTATTATGACAGGTAAAATAGCTTTAAAATCATCATAAGCGATTATACATATATCAGAAAAAAATTTACTTTTTTAAATTTAATTATAATTCGTTGTTTTTAAATCCTAGTTACTTGGAAGCAGTGCAGAACGGAGAACCAGTAGGCATTCTGCTAAGGATAGCAAAAGATATTGACGCTGCACCAGCTCTATTAGCACGTAACATTTTAGAAAAATACTGCATGCGCGACAATGCAAATGGTAATTCTTAATAATCAATGATTAATAGAATGACAAGCAGGATAATTAATTTTAAAGCTTTTTGGACTTTAAAGACATGTAAAATTTTATTTCAGTTTCAAAAAATCTAATTTCCAAACTATTTAAGGATACTACACTGATTGATGATAAGGATCTCGCATATGAAATTTATTTGGTAATTAGTCTAAGAAGATATATAATGTTTCATAAGAAGAAATTACATATCTTGATTATTAATTTAATATATCTATTACAATGTAAATTAATCTACATATTGATTAATATATCTATATAAAAGTATCTTAAAAAAAAACTCATTATTTTCTCTTTTTCAGTGTACATTATATGATGATCTGTATGGACCTATAGCTGATGCAATGGGAATGTAAGTGTCCTTCATTACTTCTGTTAAGACTTTATGTTTATACTGCATTTTCTAATATTATAGATATTTATCAAGTAAAATTCTTTGTCTTTATAAGGAAAGTAAAAGAAACAATATTTAATAAAGAGTGTTTCTTAGACACTTATACTTTTTGATTTTTATTAAATGCTCTGATACCTTTTGTTTTTCAATTTTTTTGACATAAAATTATGAAAAAATAAAACAAATTAACAAATTACAAAACTTACACAAGAGAGAAATATATTTTTTCAGATGCATAGGACAAGAATATGAAATTAAGCTTCAAGATTGTTTAATACAAAGAAATATTGCATTTCGTAACGAAGAGCACTTACGATTACGAGGCTACGACAAGACTCCAGATTTTAAATTGGAAGTACCGATTGCGGTGAATGGTTATGTGATAAACTGGATTGAATCTAAGGCACGATTTGGTAACATGGATGTTCATCAAAAATATATGAAGGAACAATTCTTAAGTTATTGGAACAGATTTGGATTCGGACTTGTCATTTATTGGTTTGGATTCCTTGATTGTCTCACCAAATCGACTGAGAAAAAGTTTATTATAATGGACCATTTTCCCGAAAATATTATATACATGGATCCGGCTTGTATCAAATCTACAAATAGTACGTGATTATAATCGACATAATCGAATATATTTATTTTTGTACAATTATGTTTAAGCTAATGATTCGACTTAAAATTGTAAATAGAGCTATGCTAAACGATCTAATATTTGAATCAATATTTTAATATTATTGCTGATTATTTATCGAATTATATTATCGAAACGAATCAAAGTATAATTTTGTATATTTTCGTATTAATTATAATTATTAATATTCGAGTCATTAAATTATTCATACTTTCTTTTTTTATATTTTTCCCCAAATCTTTTAATATCTTAATTAAATTACATAATAAATGTCAAATAAACTAAATGCTACTGTAGCATTAACATTAAAATCACAGTCGTTAAAAATAAACATGATTACAAAATATATACATATATTTTACAATCTATCTCGCAATGAATCAATTACGATGAAGTAATAAAGTCATTCGACAGCATTATATTGTACATTATATTCTCTTTGAATTTGAATTCTTTAATCAATGTTGAACAATTTATTGAATCTAAATCTTAGATCTTATCTTTTTTCCTATTTTTATCTGATACTGTATACTTGTCATAACTTTTTGTTGGATCAAAGGGTTCCCATCTACTTGCTGGAAAAATGTGTTTATTCCTCTCGTACCATGATCTAAAAATATAAAAAGGATAATAAATTATAAGAAATAAATTGTGCGAAAAAATTATACAATGTAATCGAACTATTTCTTTATTAATGAATACCTAAGTAAAACTTTTCCAGCATGTGATTCTTCAGTTTCGACAGAAGCATCATGCATAACTCGAATATCATCATGAACGTCAAATGTGAACAAAGGCCCACTTTTTCCTCGTGCCTAATTGCAACATTAATGTATTACATATTAAAATAAGATACCAACATTGTATTATTGCTTGATAAGCTTTATTTATTATTTGAATATTTTTACCTTAGTTACGATAAAATCATAGAATGTATAATGATGTGGTAATATAAGATCCTCCTTGACATACATTAACTGATCTGCCATTACTGTTTTAAGCTCACTAAATTCACGTCTCAGGACTTCCAGACATCTCTGAAGAAGCTGATAGATAGAATTACCTGTGTGTAAAAAAAGAGAAAGGAAATATTTTAATAAACTCAGTACATGAAGTAGAATTACATAGAAAAACGTATTTTTATAATTTTATAATTCTCTAATCGCATTAAGATATTTACCTTTCTTCATTATAACACTCCTACGATGGCCAGATCCATCCCAATAACTGAATGTGATTTCAATTTCTTCTTCCTTCAATGCATTCTGCTTTCTAGCCCATTCTTGTCTCAATTCCTCTCTAAGTTTATTTTCCTCTTCTTCTCTTTCCCTATCTGGTAAAAAACTTGTATCTACATCTGGGTTTTTTTTAATTTTCTTATTACATTGAATATCATCTGATTTTATAGATTTTTCTGTATTATTTTTGTCAGAAATTTCAATTTCAGCTTCAGCTTCAGCTTCAGCTTCATCTTCGTCTTCGTCTTCATCTAAATTAAAAGACAACGCTTGAATCTGTCTTTTCTGTTTGTTCTTTTCTGCCTGTTTTGCTGCTAATGCTCTTTCCTTTTCTTGTTCTTTTTCTCGTTCCTTCTGGGCAAGCTTCCTTTCCCGTTCTTTTACTATATTTTCCTGCTTTGCTTTCATCTCATTTAATGTGACCAAACCAATTGTGGAAGTCTTTAATTGTTGTTCAACAGCATTGTAATGAGTCGCAAACTTATTCTCTATATTATGAATCTTCAAGTCATCTTCGATTTTCTTCTTTCGTAGTTCTATTTCTTGTTGTGCAATTTCTCGCTTCTTCATCAGCTGCATGGCTCTGCCAGCTTCGCTGGCTGCTCCTTTGTAATGTGCCATGTTTTACAAGAATAATCAACTACTACTTAAGTAATAAGTATAGGAGTTTCCTGTCTCCACCAACTTTGTTACAAGATTCACTAAATCCTAGATAAAAATATATGATTTTAATATATAATGCAATATCTAAAAAATTCATTTTTAAAAAACTTAAACTGAAGAGTCTTATAATTTCAAAATTTATGATATTCTCAGAAAATTTTCATTTTATTTCGATAATTATAATGAAATATTAATTCATATATAAATATCACTTTTCATTATGTATTACCTGCAGTGCAAGTCTCCAAATATTTAAAATGTATTGAACACGATAAAAAACGAAAGATCGTAAGAAATGAATAGAATTCATAGACGTTTACACAGCTATCAAGCTCACATTCTCAGCATTTTCACGAACATCTGCAAACATCTGACCATTCTAACCACTCTGAAATGAGAAAGATTCTAGATATATGCACAGTGAAGCAAACGTTCAGTATTGAAAATCCTAAAACAAGAACATTGACGTCAATTGTTATTCCATTGTTCAATACTCATTTTTAGCATCAAAGAGCGTCAATTAACTTAATGTATTCTATATTTCTTCTAATTAGAATGTAATTCTAGAATTAGAAAAAATAAAGAATAAGTTAAATCGAGATTAAAATTACTTACAATTGGAACTAATTAATTCAACTTAATCAGAAATTTGTGAAACTGACCTTTTACGAAAGAAGGAATTTTCTGTAAAATAAATATTATAATTTATAACAACAGACAAATTTAATTCGTTGCATCTGGAATCGGTTTGTTATAAAGATATTAAACATCAACATTATAAGAAAAACTTTACCAGTTTGCCGATAAATATAAAATTAAATAATTATTATAAATTATATAAAGACTACATAAATATAAGTATTCTAAATAATTTAGAAAATTGATTAGAGATAAAAATAAAAAATTAATAACGTAAACAATGATAAAGCAATCATTATCTCGAACAGCCGCGACTTACGAATATCTAGATACGGCACATATGTTCGAAAAATGTTCACATAGTACAGGTATACATTTATAATAATGGGCGAATTATTATCTTATCTTTTTAAATCTAGGTACATCTATTCTAAGATAAAAGTCTCCAACGAAAGTTTCTTTTGCAATCTCCCTCACTCTTACATATATTCGCTCTTATTTAGTTGGTTTGGTAAGTGAATAGTCCGGAATTTCTTAAAACTCTGATTATTACTTTATCAATAACTTTATATTCTTATAATCATTCGAGATTCCCAAAGAGTTCATAATTCGCTGCATTTCATTGGAGACACACGAATCAAGCTGTTTATTTATATTCGGCATTACATAGATATTATTCTATATTGCTTTGCTATCGTGATTGATTTCAATTGTCTGACACTCGTGGCCTTTCAGATGTTCAGTATTATGTCGAAGTCACGAGTTTCAGTTGCATTCAGGTTAATCGCGAATTGCAAAAAACTGCATTCCACTGATTCCACATTGCCGTGTTCTACGAAGATCGTTCATAAGACAAAAATCGTTCAAGATTCAACCGGATTGTATTCGCGGTGCGTTACATTCGACGTGAAATTTGGAATGAGCTCTCAAGTTGTTCTGTGAAGTTGTGTCAAACCGTGATACTAATAAACGCGTACTAATAAATGCGTTGTTTTTTATTTTTGAACATCCAAGATTGAAACTCGCTCGCCAAACTCAATTTTTCATAGTACACATAGTATTATATAAATATAAAAAAAAAGAATTGTTTGTGTTGCTTTTCCATTGTCATGAATGAATACAAAGATCATCTTTCGTACTGTATTATTGCATTGAGGTTTAATCTCAATGAAATTATATCTGTCAAGTACAGAAGCGGCGGAAAGTTTGAGATATTTTCGATATGAAATAACAAATTAACCTGAGTATATTATTATATTTTTTTACATCATTTTTTAATATCATTTTAGATGAAAACACATGGAAAAGAATTTTTTTACACTTGCTATGTCTACTTTAGGTTGCAAGGTGTTAAATAACTAAACTAACATTATTTTAATGTAAAAAAAATGAACTTTAATATTAAACAATTTATAATTCTACTGATCTATTGGATCCAAAATGTATTTTATTTTCTTGCTAATATTTAGTTTAAAAACTTTTTCCTTGATTTGATAACTTTATTAATGCAAGATCTTTTTCTGTGAAAATTTAATTTTTATTTTTTAGAGTTTTTTTAATCGTATTGACCCAAATAAAACAGATCAGCAAGATTAAATGTTATTTTAAGCTCTCAAAATTTTAATAAATAAAAATTACAATATTACTACATGTATTTATATTTCCTTATTAGTGTTATTAAAAAAATTATAATAAACTTTTAAAATATAAATGGAAAAATTCACCTGCAGTAGATCTCAGAATTAATACATACGGATTATGGTTTAGGACTTATTTATTGATTATCAGATTTATAAGATGTTTAAGCCATAGTTGTAGATAATTTAAATAGATGATTTCCATGACATATTTTTGTTTTTCTTTCAGTGTACAGCAACAGTGCAAAATGAGTGATATAGATAAAACTTTATATACATTGCCAAATGATCAACCTGTTGTCGCTCTGGAATGCGACACTGCCTTCAAATCTTTGACGCAAAAGGAAAAATTGTACGCTCACTACTTGAGCCAAGCGGCATGGAGGGGAGGATTGATAGTATTAATACAGACATCGCCGGAATCTCCACTGATATTTGCACTGTTGCAAAAAATATTTCTCTCAGAATCTCTCGAAGACTTGGAAAACTCCTCAGTGCGCGCTGGTGTTACTCAGGAGCAATTTACGGTATAAGAAAAGCTTTCTTCTTGTATATCTTTTTTTTATTTTTTAATTTTGCAGATTATTAAGTTAGCATTCATATGACGAGATACCTTTTATTTTTCAGGCTTTCTTAGTTTACAGTTCTGGGATTTTTGCAAATGCAGGCAACTATAAAGCCATGGGCGATACTAAAATTATCCCCAATATTCCGAAAGGTTTATTTGAGGCAATAATAAAATCTTCAAAAGCTTACAAGACTAATTCTAAGGAGATGCAAGATCTATGGAATAAAATATCAGAACCCATGTTTTCCTTAAAGGGTAAATTAAAATCATTAGGATTGGGTGACAAAGGTATCACAACTTATTTCTCTGCAAACTGTACTGAAGAAGATGCCGACAAAGTTAACGCATTCATGCAACATAAAGGATTAGAATCTTGTAATGCAAGATGCTTCAAGACAGTAGTGAAAGATCCCGCGAGTAACGATAATATTAATATATATGAAATCAAATTAGCATCAGTAGAGATGTCAGATAATCCTAAAGTGACACTGCCCGAGGAAACATTCGGAAATGCCAAATTTAAAATTACGAGAGGAGATTACAGCAAACTCTTGATGCCTGTTGTGAAAAACCTCCAGAAAGCCAAAGAATACGCGTCGAACCAGATTGAAAAAAATATGCTGGAAAAATACATCGAACATTTTAAAACAGGATCTTTAGACGATCATAAGGACGGTTCTCGTCTTTGGATAAAGGATAAAGGACCGTCTATCGAATCTTATATCGGCTTTATTGAGACGTACCGAGACCCCGCGGGTCAACGAGGAGAATTCGAAGGCTTCATAGCGATAGTGAATAGACAAATGTCTGAGAAATTCGCTACACTAGTCAACAGAGCCGAGGAATTTATCCCCAAGCTGCCTTGGAACAAGGATTTCGAAAAGGACACATTTTTGAGACCGGATTTTACCTCCTTGGACGTTTTAACGTTCGCAGGTTCTAGTATTCCATCGGGAATAAACATTCCAAATTACGATGAGATTAGACAGTCCGAAGGGTTTAAAAATGTATCGTTAGGAAACGTTATACCTGCTCATTTAAAGGATGTTCGTTCGATTCCATTTTTATCTGATGCTGATCAGGCGTTGATGCATAAGTATAGGGTAGCTAGCTTTGAGGTGCAAGTTGGTCTTCACGAGCTTCTCGGTCACGGTACCGGTAAATTATTTAAACAGATGGGACCGGATATGTACAACTTCGATCGTGATACTGTGATAAATCCTCTTACCGGTAATAAGATAGACAAATTCTTTTTGAAAGGAGAGACTTACGATTCTAAATTCGGCTCTCTGGGATCTACATACGAGGAGTGCAGGGCGGAGGCAGTCGGTCTTTACTTGAGCTTGGAGAAAGAAACAATGAAAATATTCGGTCACGAGGGACAGGTAGCAGAGGATATAATCTATGTGAACTGGTTATCTCTGCTATGGAGTGGTTTTGCAAAGGCTTTCGAGATGTATCAACCGTCCACGCAAACGTGGTCCCAAGCTCACTCTCAAGCACGTTATGTCCTGCTCAGAGTGTGCCTGGAAGCGGGCCAGGATTTCGTCAATGTTGTCGAAACTGAGGAAGGAACCAATCTCCGTATGACTGTCGATCGATGCAAAATCTTCACGGTCGGCAAAAAAGCCGTCGGAGATTTTCTCCTGAAGTTGCAAGTTTATAAAAGTATGGGAGACTTTGAATCGGCTAAGAAAATGTACGATAGATACAGCGAGGTACCTGAAAACGGACCATACCCATGGGGTAGCTGGAGGGACTTAATCCTGTCTCGCAAAGAACCAAGGAAGATCTTCGTTCAATCAAATACATTTATTGATGGTTTGTATCAAAATCCTATACATTATTGCTATTTTTTAAATATTTGTATTATCCATGTATTGTACTTATGTATACTTGTATGATAATTTGTAGTCTAATTTTTTTATTTGTTTTAGATCTTGATTCTAATAACGTGATACTGAAAAATTACAAGCCGTCGTTCGCGGGACTTATTCAATCATGGGTAGAAAGATTCCCAAGTTTAGACATATCTGAAATGTTGATAGAACTCTGGGAAAAAGACAAACAACATTTTGAATCGGAATATTACTAAAATATTTAACCAAACGACTAAATCGTTAAAAATTTCATGTAACTCTCTTTCGTGTCTGGCTATTTACCAGAACAACAGATGTTACATGTGCAGAAATATTACTTTTTTACGCTTTATTTTTTATTAAAGTACTAATGGTCGCGTTTAAGAAGTTAGTTTCTTCTTTTATTATGATTTCCAATTTTCATTATAGATTCAATATACGACCAGTGAAAAAAAAAATCAGTGAAAAAGTGCATAAGTCGAATAAACGTTTTAAGATAATACAAATACACTCACACACAAAAAAAACGGGCCACTAAATTTTTGCACAAAATTTTTAATATTTTCAAATTAGCAATAACTCAGTGAAAAATCATCGTAGATGATTGAGATGATTAAAAAAGCCTTTTAAAGTTTAAAATTTCTACTATCAGTATTTATACTTTAA